GCATTTTAGTTTACAAATAAAGTACCTACTGATCTTCTCAATTTGACTTGCTGGCAAATCTTGATTCATGTTTTTGGAAAAAGATAAACTTCTATTTGCTTGTTTCTCCCAGTAAACTCCTTTGACTTGCTGCTAACATTTTGATGCTGAAGCTCCTCCAAATGTTTATTTTAGTGTGATTATTGCTGTCTCTGGATTCCTTCAAGCTTGGGCTGACCTTTTGCCCTGTTCACAAATTGCCATTGTCAGAATCCCGGAATCTCAATTTGAGAAGAGGAAATAAAACTCATAGGGGTCATAGGAAAGATCTATCCCAGGTTCCCGCGGTTGACTCACGATAATGCATTACCAGGCTAGCAGAGATAAACTCGCTGCAAAGCTTCAATACCATTACAGGGCATTTATAGGTACACAGGTACAGGGCAATTGATGACAGAATGTAGAGATTACAATAAGATTCTGAGGTCATCACATACAGAACAGTTAAAGAAATGTCAGTCAATCACACTGTAACAATGAGATTAAAATATTTCTAATTGCCTGTATTGACACTTTAGTTGAGTAACTTGAACCCATCTCCAGGTCTGCTCAGACATGCAAATTCAAGGTACTAGAAACTATTCATGATAAGCTCAGACCCTTATTTCGACTCTAGACATTCTGCATGATCAGGGCACATGAAGCCCTCTGGGCTATCAAAAGATTATTGTAAACTGAATTCGAACAATGACTATTTACAATGTATATTTGGGCTAAAATGGCCTGTCTACTGTAGCCTACAGCTAAAGGTGAGAGAAAGGAGTGGGGGAATGTTTTAAACAGTGACAGCTTGGTTTTGAGAAGGAAGACAGGATTTGATCCCACAAGTCAGAAGGGTCCTCTCAGGCCATTTAGTCTGACCCCCGGCTCCGGCCGGCTCTGCTCATGACATGCCTACCATGTGGATGTCCAGCCTATCTAGGATGTGCGCATGAGGATGCCCATCTTTTCCAGGCCAAGTTCTCAATCCATGCATACCCTAAAACCACACAAGGGAGTTCCCCTCACTCCTACAGAATGAATTTTGGCCCTGTCAGTTCAGAAGTATATCTCTAGTTCTACACCAAGATGAATTCTGATTGTTGTCTACAAATATGTCCAGAAACTGATGGGACAACAGATGACCTATTGTTGAGAACATTATTAACACAGTTTTAAGCTGTTCAGTTACACAGGTTGTAGGCTTAAATTATGGTATTGATCATTTGTAAACACCTATACAGCACATTTTAAATGCACTAGAACTTCATGTACCTTTTTTACCCTAATAGCTGCATTAGGAATGCCTTATCGTTTCCTGCATTGTAATTAAATGGGATTGAAGTTGAAAGAAAAGTGGTTTGAGTAAGACCGCTTGAGCCGCCAAATGTTTTGGTCAACAACTTGCACCAGCTTCAGCCAGTGGGAAGGGATGATGGGAAATAGAGAACCTCTGGAGGGCCACAAGCTGCTCACACCTAACATAGTGACTTCATAGATGAGCCTTGAAGCCATGTTTGAACCTGGCCCTTCTCCACTCACTTTCTTAGCAACACTGACATCCCGTTTCTGTGAGGTTTCTATCCATTAGCAGCAGCTTGCAACCATTACACACCCAGGACACACTGGAAAGGCTTTTTGCTTGTGACCAAGATAATATGGGTTTATAGAAGGCCTGTAATGATTATATTGGGGCTTCACTCACAGGGCATGTTCTGGCAAATCCTGGTTTACTGTGAATGAACTGTGTGCTACTGGCTGCATATTCGCTCACTTGGCTCCTTCCTGTAGTGTGAAATGGCTTGTTTAGTGTGTTGGATGAACCTGGTATCCTGGTTTGTTG